TTCCTTTGGGTATGAGTTGCCATCCACTATTAACCGACTCTCTAAATCTTCTACCTCGACGATTCGGCCTTCTTCCTCTGTGAGCAGTGGTCCATACTCCTTTTCTCGAAATCGCACCGCACGGCTGGAGATAGGTAACGACCAAACCTGATCACTGGGTCTCGCACCCACAGCGAGAGCTGCTCTGTTCCTCGGGTCTCGAGGCTCCACCGTCTCAATCATCACTCGCGTCCCGTCTGGCCTCTTAATGGACAATGTCTGGCTCCCGTCAGGTCGCTCTATCGTTACCGCATGCACGTGGCTCAGCCACGTCCGTCCCAAGAGCAGGTCAAAGCTGCAGTTCTTGACTGCGAAAACAGGCAGGGTCACTCGCACCCCTTGGACCTCTATAACTGCCTTGTGACAAACCCCAGTGATCTGTTGCTTTCTCCSATCAGCCGTCTCTATCTCGAATAGGTATGACCTATCGAGGCCCAGTCCAACTTGTACCGCCAGGTCCTCGTCTATGATGACAGCCTCACTGCCGTTATCAATCACAGCATCGAGTACTGCTCCATCGTTTATAATCGTCCCCACGGCTCCGCTACCAAGTATATAAAACTTGTCTGGAGGCACACCTTCCATCCCATCGAGAAGAACGGACGCCATGCGATCCGCTCTGGCAGTCATCCCCGTTACTGTAACTGTAGAAGCTTCCGCCTTAGGGGCTCCCTGATCGTCCTCTGATAGAGGTATGCGAGTCTTCCGCGTGATCATCTGTAATTCATCACGAGCCGGCTTCGATGCCGCCAGGTACTCCAGAATAGAGCAATGCATGGGTTGCCGAAGGGCACGCCTCAGGGGCTCGACTGTGTCAATCTCGTCCAGCGAACTCTTCATTAAAAACTTCTTCACTCCCCGCTTTCACGGCGAAAGGATAACCTCCTCTCCATCGATCCGCTGCCCGTCCTTCTCCGTCATCACGTAATCCGTATCAGTTTTCTTCGATGTAGACCCTTTTAACGACTTGGTGGCTGCCACCCTTATCGGTGTGGCTGTCATATCCCCCTCAAAGGTTATCTTGATGCTCTGGCTTCTGACCGGCTCCATTTCTTTACTCGTCTTTATTCTCCTTGCTTCGACATTCTCCTTCATCGAAGGGAACATCGATACATCTCCGAGATTATCTGCCCACTTGACGTACTTGCGGTCGTCAAGCACGACAAGTCCCTCTTCTATTACCCGTTTAAGGTCCGGACAATCCCTCTTGATATGATCTTCTCCTCTACAGTAGACGCATGAGTTCCTCGGAGTAGATGCCCTGTCGTCTGCGCCTTTAGGGATCGATTTCCTGGCCGCGTTGGGGTCAGGCGACTTTGGATATGGTTCTGATGAGACACCATATCCCCCTCTCTCATTCCGACTGCGCGAGTCGTTGCGCCGGTCTCCTCCAGACCCTCCTTGGTCATATCGCCCTCGCGAATCGTCCCGGCGATCCCCTAAGTCATATCGTCCTCGTGACTCATCGCGTCGGTCCCCTCGGTTGTACCATCCCCGCAACTCGTCGCGCTGCCCTGTCACATCTCCTCCGCGTTCAAACCGTCCGCGCGACCTATCTTGTCGTTCCCAGTCCCGATCTCCTCTCTCATATCTACTTCCTCTGTAGCCATCTCGACCCGACCTCTCATATATCTCGTCCCTATATCCGTCCCGGTCCGATCTCTCGTATCTGCCGTCCCTCTTCCATCGGCCGCGGGAGTCGCCTGTACCCCGATCGGCCTCATAGCGAGGGCTTCGGGGGTAATCATCTAGCCTCCTTGCCCGCACAAACAACTCGTGATCTTTGCGGTCTCGGTCTATCTCATCGTCCCTGCGTCGCCATAATTCATCGTCTCTCTCTCTCCCCCTCGTACGATAGTCAATCAGTGTCCGAGGATTTCTATCCTCGACATTCCTCCAGGGATCGTTGTTCCTACGGTCCCAGCGAAGCGAATAGGGCCCTCCAGGTTTGTCCCGGTA